GTGTGTGTGTGTGTGTGTGTCTGTGCACCAGGTCGGTGTGTTTGGGTATGTGTGTGTGTGTGTGCATGTGTCTGTGCACCAGGCCCAGGGAGGTCATAAGAAGCATCGCACTCCCCTAGAACTGGAGTTCCGGAGGGTTGTGAGCTGCCCCGTGGGTGCTGGGAACCGAACCTGGGTCCCCTGGTAGAGCAGCCAGTGCTCTTACCAGCTGAGCCGTCTCTCTGGCCTCTCCTCAGGGTGTTTCACCACAGCATATGACAGCGGAGAGAACCTGTTTACTGTGCAAAGTCCCGGCATCACACACCGAACCCAAACCCCGGCCTCCCTCCTATCTGACTTCCTATGGCAAACCTAAACTGCAGCCACACCCAGCCTCCCCACAGACATGCCCCTGCTCACCGCGCCGTCTCTCTTCCAGGAAGGCCCTCCCTCCCCAGACACTCAGCCTCTACGGCAGGCCAGGCAGACAGCACCTGCAGGCCTTGGCACACTCCCTCCACGTACTGCGTCCTCGTGGCTGCACGCTCCCACGAGGCACTCTCTCCTCACGGGGAGTGAGACAGCTCTCACGGGAAGCCAACCTGTGGCTCCTGAGCCCCCTGCCATCTGCTTCATGCCCTCACCTGCCACACGAGAGGCTCGAGGGCACTCGTGTAGAGTGAAAGTGAGGCTGAGAGAGGCCCTGGGCAGAGACAGAGCTGGAGTTTGATTTCCCAAGGTTGGACTTTCAAGTCCCCGTCACTTCAGAGCTGCTGAGGGAGGTAGGGCCTCCTGCCCGGTGCCTTGTCAGGGGACCACTGTTTCTCTGTTGTTGTTTTTCTCTGACCCGTGCCCAGGTCAGAGCCAGGAGCGGAATCTGTGGAACTGGTGGGCGCGAGGAAGATGTTGAGCGCTGTGCCCACTAAGGAGCAGGCAGAAAGGGCTTCCGAGAAGGTCTTCAGAACTAGCAGAGATCTAGCCGGAAGGTGCACAGGCAGGCTTCCCGGCCTCCCCTCCCTCCTCTCCCCACGCCTCCCCTCCCCTCCCTTCCAGCTTTCCTTGTTTAGCCTGTGTGTTTGCGAGTGCCTGTGTGCACCCTCCTATCACACCCCTCAGAGCTGGTAGTGCATGCGTCTCCAGGCTCGGCCGAGAGCGCTTCTACTTGCCAAGCCACCTTGCTGGCCCCTCCTCACGCTTCAGAGTTAGGGGTGCACGCGGAGGCCCCCCTGCTCTGTGGGTGAGCCTGCCCCGGCCGCCCTCCGCACCTCAGCCCGGCCGCCCAGCCGCAGACCCGCCAGCCTCACCGTCCGTGCTGGCGTCGTCCACCAGGATGACCTCCCTCAGCAGGGCGGCAGGGCTGGTGTGCAGGACGCTGTACACCGTGCGCAGCAGAGTGGACCAGGCCTCGTTGTGAAACACGATGACCACGCTGGTGGCGGGCAGGGGCGGGCAGCGCCGGAACTTCTGGTCAACACACCTGGGAAGGAGGAAGGGCGGACCCGGCTGAGTCCCGGGCGGGGAGGGGTTCCAGGAGGGGAAAGAGATCCGCCTAAAGCTCCTAACCACCCCACCACACATCTGCACCCCACACTCCTGCACCCACATTCCTGCACCCCACACTCCTGCACCCACATTCCTGCACCCCACACTCCTGCACCCACATTCCTGCACCCCACACTCCTGCACCCACTACACATCTGCACCCCACACTCCTGCACCCACATTCCTGCACCCCACACTCCTGCACCCACCACACATCTGCACCCCACACTCCTGCACCCACATTCCTGCACCCCACACTCCACCCCACACTCCACCCCACACCCCACCCCACACTCCACCCCACACTCCTCACTCCCACCCCCTCATCCAACTGCACGCTCATCCCCCACTCCAGAGCTCTCGCGCCCAACCACCAATCCCCTTCCCCATTGTGCTCTTAGCTGCCCTCCTACCCCCTGGGCAAGTACTAGCCAGCCCCCTCCAAAGCCACCCGCTGAGCTAGTCGGTGTCCTAAATCCTCCCCTCCCCCCAGATGTTGCACTCTCAGGCCAGGTGTTCCCGAGGCTGACTCACTCGGCACCTTGGACACTGTATGTGGCGAGATCCTGGCCAGAGGTCTCAGAGGCTGAGTCATGACAGGCAAATGCGAGGGCAGCGAAGGCCACTGGCAGTCAGTGTGAGGAAAAGGTCCTTCTCGAAGAGTTCCATTCACACTTCCCCTTTAAGCTCCCCAGAACCTCTACTATCACTGGCAATTTCTGGGACCTTCCTGCCATCTGGACACTGACAGGAGTGGGGTCCGGGACCCCAAGGCCCACTCGGCTGGACACCGTTTTTGTTTCGTACTGTAAACCAGGGTGGTCTCAATCCTGCAGGCCTCCTGCCTCAGCCTCCGAAGCGCTGGGAGGTAAGACCCAGTGTCCTCCACACCCAACTCCTCCCCACTTGTTGGGGAGATGTGTGGGCCTGCAGCGAGCTTCCTCGGCCTCCTCCCCTGGCCGCCCCTGTGACAAGTCCTTCTTTGCCACCGCACCAAGCTGCAGCTCCTTGGGCTGTGTGTCCAAGTGTGAGGAACCCCAGGCTCGCAGTCCTAAAGGGTCATGACCAAGGAGTGGCTGTTTCTTTCCAAGTAACTCTACTTGAAAAGGGCAGTGGCTTAGCGTGGAACACACACACACACACACACACACACACACACACACACACACACACA